ACTCCTTGCTTTTCCAAGCCGGGAGCCTCGCAAACTGCTCCGGCTTTGCAAGCACCCCTGCTCTGCCCTCGCGAGCTTTCAAATTGCCCCTCTTCTGCCTAGCATGGAATTAAGTGTTGGAAACTGCAAGGTGGGGAACACTATATTATCATGGTTATTGTCATTTCTTGCCTAGAATTGACATTTCTTACCCCACTATTAGGTTAATTCATTTAACTTCCCGTGTTTTCTATTTCTGAATGCCACACTTCAGCATCTAGATACTAGGCATACGTTTCCCAGTCAAATTTGTTTCTTGCACTCTCTAAATTTTCTGTTCTGTAATCCCATTTCTGTAATCTTCTGCCAAAGAAATCTTTATTTTCCAATCGATTGTAATAACTAATGGATATTCAGAGTGAAATTAGGCCACTGATTTTATTTTGTACATTCAGAAATCATTTTTTTTTCTCTTTGAGATTCATCAAATCAGGTAAATTTTCATAACATTTTAAAACTCTGATTTCTTCATATATGATTAGCATAGGCTCACAGACAAACTAAGAAAACGGCTGACAAACTACACAAAGGACATGCACACAGGTCAAGACATCCAATATGACAGTCTGCTTTTAGATGTATATTTTATATAGCCATTTTATATTTTAGTCATATTTTAACCATTATCATGATATCTGAATGCAATATTTGTATTACCAGGATATAACATCCAAGTGCACCCTAAGTCTGTATTAGAGATGTGGCTACACATTCCAGACTCAAAAATGTATTAGAAGAGCACCAAAACTGAAATAAATTAAAAGAGAGCTTGAATTAAGAGAGGCGGAAAAAGGAAAGCTTAACACCATTAAAATCACATAAAAATGTAAAATACCATAAATATAAGTATAAATCCCATCAGCCCATATCTATATTCAGAGTCACTAAACTACATTTCACCCATCAGCAAACACAGGAGCAATGAAGAGAGGTCTTCTTCATTGTCAGATATTTTACAGCCCAAATCTAGAATTTTGAAAATATTTTATTTCATCTCAAAGCTTTTCAGCTTTGAGCTTTTGAGCTATTTCAACGTACAACTTATATTCACACAAAGTAAAACTTCAACATCAGCATCTTATTCCATAAAGTTTTCATTATAAAAATATAACAAAATACTTGATTAAAGGTATGAATGCTCTCAGCACGATGGGCCAAAAAGATTCCCTCTGCCAATTAGCAGTAAAATTTCCTACATAATAGGAATCAGAATGATTGCTTAAGTAACCTGAGTGCTCATAGACTTTTGAGGGTGACGGGAACTGTCTTTTAGATCAGACAGGCGGTTTAGCTACTACCTTCCTGTCCAAAAATGCAATTCCTGGCTAGTCTATAGGAAGGCAAAAGAGCCCTCTAACAAGCAGTAGCTAAATAGCTTCCTCGCATGAGACAGATAAAGATCTAGCCTAATTTTGCTGTTTGGTTTATGTCTTGGAGCAAATATCTTACTGCAGCAGGGAACAGGAAGAGGAAGGGGGAAGGACTCAGCAAGACCGTGCTTGGCTTTTCCTTTTATAAAGCTACCAAACTGCTAGGCCCTTAGTTCTATTGCTTTCTTACAGGAATTAATTGCATAAAATAATTGCATGCTAATTTTTGCCATCTTAATTATTCTTCAGCATAGCTCCACTCTAATAATTTACTCCTCCAAGTTTTACTCTTATATAGAATATTTTAAATGTTTGAACCAGTGTGTTGAGTGAACTACGTGAAACAGGCTTCCAATATTGCAAAATATTGCAGGCTTCTGCAACATGTGGATGTCTAACCTAGCTTCCTTTTTCAATTTTTAATATTTCTAATTGCATCCTTAACAACAGAAGTTGTAAGAAATAATTTGGGGGTCAATGAGGCATATTCACAGCTGCTACAAATTGCCCAATTACTGGGCAGATCACGATCTTCCCTCAAGCTCCCGAGATCTAAGCTTGCATTTTCACAGAAAATTGCCAATTCAAAGTAACATAAATAAACAACACCTTGTAGATAGTACTACTATCAAAGCAGTTCAATATCTGATTTGCTTAGGTTTTCATTCAACCATCCGCTTTCCAAGAATTTCCACAAGTACCAAAGCACCAACTATTTCTGTAGCAATCTCTGCAGCTCTATGGATCGTTGTCTGAATTACATGTTTGTTTTGCTTTTTAAAGAGAAGACAATCGCATCCCCAAACCACCATGAAATTAAGTGTTTCTATCACACCACGGTTGAAGACCATGCAGAACTGTACCAATGACACATCTGCTCATTGTAGGCTCCTTTTGCATATTGTTTCTCACAGATAATCTTGAATGAGGTAGACAAATCATTGCTGAATCCAAGTGTTTCAGTCTTAAACTGCAACTTTTCAGTGCCTACGTGATCCAAGGGCATTCCAGTGGGGTCTATAGCAGGGATGCCTCAAAATGCACACGGGGGCTCAGTGGGAATGGCTACAGGAAGGAGTCACCTAACACAATCGATTGGAGCACCGAGGAGTTAATGAGTGAGCAGTGAGCAAGAAGGGAGGCAGAAGAAGAGGAAGAGGAGGTCTGGGAACTGAACTCAAACAAGTGGGACCCAGCCGCAGCCAGCACCCTGCTCTCATCGTGGTCCTTCTCTTTTCACAGGGCTTCTTGCACAATTATTTAACACTCTGAGGCCATTGGGATCTCAGGTTTTCTTGCATGTTAGCTTCTGCCAGCGCTGAGTTTACTTACTGATGTTAGTGTCTATTCCAGCACAATTCTACTAGCACTCAATATTCAGAAAAACCTTTGTTGCAATTCCAGAAATACCTCTAACTAATCCTTTATGGTTGCGCTGTTTTTTCTCTCATGTCTCTTTAGCCGTAAACATACTTATATTGAAAATAAATATAATGCCTGCTGTCTTCCTGTCTGCTCTGAAAGCATACTAAAGAAATTTCTGTGTTTAGGGAAAGCAACTATTTTACAACATATGACCTGCCAAATTCAGGTATGGAAGCAAAAATGAGGAGGCATATATATGAATGATAACAACACAATCTATAATCATGTAAAAAAATAAAAATAAAGGAATGGCAATTTTGTATTTCAGTGGCTTATAAGAGTATAGACTATTTTACAACATATGACCTGCCAAACTCAGGTATGGAAGCAAAGCAGCTCCAAAAATGAGGAGGCATATATATGAATGATAACAACACAATCTATAATCATGTAAAAAAATAAAAATAAAGGAATGGCAATTTTGTATTTCAGTGGCTTATAAGAGTATAGATATTAGGAAGAAAATGTCTCCCACAAGTTTATTAATACGTAAGTATGTACCAAAAAAGTGTATATCTTCCTCTGAAGTCACTAAGACTGACTTCTAGAAGCAGAACAAAATGAGACAGATGTAATTCTGGATGGCTATTTTAATATTGTCCTACTTGTGCTGTTATCACTTCTGCTTTCTCAGAAGGAAGGATATTCATTTCAATTCAAAGGAATTATGAGTGAAGTATATTTGTTTATTTCCATTTAAAGAAAGAAGTAAAATGGAAATATAACAGAGAATTCCACATCTTAACTTTCCATTTAGCTCTTAATGACATGGTTAATGACATTCACTTGACTGCCTGCTTGTGCCAGCTGACAAAAACCATGGTCACTGTTATGGATCTAGATTGTCAGCATTTGACATGTGTGTTTCAGTTCATGCCTTCACAAGAAATTACATAGAAACCAGGTAGACCAATTGTACTTAGCCAATTGTACTGTCTCTAGATAATACTAGCACCTAATTAAGGAGTAGCAAAGCAGAGAGAGTATAGAAGTGAAGATAGAACTCTTAAACGGCTTCTGAGAATTGTGGTTCTCACATGCTTGAAAACTATAGATTTTCCAGAATGTAAATACAAATCACTGCATGAACCTGCTGCTGAATAGTCAGAATCTGCTTCCAAGAGTCCAGGGATAGAATAATAATTCCTTTCCAAATACTGAAGCTACACCATCATGGATGAGTAAATTAACCGTTAATTTCTGTCGATAGCTTGTTTTAGGCATGCAACAACTAAATCACCATTTTCATTAAATAAAAATGATTTCAAATTTTTCTCTGTAGTTGCAATTAAATTGGAATAATTCCATATTCCAATAATATTGAAGCTAAAATTTAATTTAAAAAATGGATAAAAAATGTATAGTGAGGCCCAATAATATGGTAGGGGTGAAATGGGAAAAACAAGAGTAGGAAATATTTCCTTGGTGAACTCTATTCTACTCACATTAGGGAATGAGGGACCAGTTATTCATGTTACTTCAAAGTCTTGTATCTAATCTCAAGTTAGAAATTGAGGGAACAGGAAAATTAGCTGAATAACTCTCCTTATAGATGCAGTACATAAAATTATATTTGTATGATAAGTACAGTTATAGCACTTATAAGAAGGTTTGCCCACAGTATTAAGCCCAGCTCTCCATTAAAAATGGTAACATGTTGCAAGTGGACTAATACACTGAATATAGATACATGTTAAAATAATTTTGCCATATATGTCAACATAAAACAAATATGTAAATATGTCAGGAATCCAAGTCTCTTCTACATCTTAATAAAAAATCCTTTATCCTTTGTAATAAAAATCATGCAGAGAAAATGCCCTAATGATCACATAGCATGTGTAAACAGTTTAAAAAAATGTAAGCCATTTTCACAGTGTTTTTGTTTTTTTCCAATCATTTCATTAATAGACTTTTCCACTTTGTCATGCATGGGCATCCCCAAAATCTCTACTTTCTCATGCTGGCACATTTGCAGAAGAAATCATATCACTAGAAGTCAGTGTACTAAATTAATTATCTATAAAACTAATAATACTTTATAAATGCAATGATTTCTTTGCCTCCAAATATTAAATAGCCCGGTTCACAATAACTTTGCCAGTCCTTGAAGAAAAGGAACTACACCGCGGAAACAAATCTAAACCAGATTTTTCTTCCTCAGACAGCTTTTATAGGTCAGAAGTCTTATGTTTCCCATTTACAATCTGACCTCAATTAAAGAAGTCTTTTAGAGGACACTAAATTATTTTTATGTAATAGAAGTTTAAATTCAGACTATCATCTGGACTGTTTTAATTAACACAGTGTGTACGACATGACCCTGCTCCAGATAGCAGGAAATTTTGGATAATATATTTGGGACTGCACTACTGCAAAATCATTTTGATTTTCAACAAATTGCCACAGCTGGTAAGGAAGTTTGCATTGATGCAGAAACCTCTCCAAGAACTAAATTGCCATTATTAAACTAGATAACATCATGCCTTCCAATTTCTAATAGATCAAGATAACACTGTTTCATTATACGAAAACCAAGAGGAGGTTTCAGTGGCTCTCACTGCACTTCCTTATTATTTAATAAATCTCTTTTTCCCTTCTCTTTGGTCTTTTTATTATGGGCCCTATTGTGCATTCTAGTGTGTAGTTACACCACCAGTTTTATATGTTGATTTAACTTGTATTTCTTAAATGTTAATAGTGAAGAACACTCTGCTTTATGGCTTTTATTGCATTTTTTCAATTATTTAATCATGGATACATAAGCAGCTTCCACTGAAAAAAAAATCTTTCATTCATCTACTGTTTTCTTAAAGGATATTGATAATTTCAGTTTAGCATATTTTGCTGTTTTTCAAAACAAAACTCCCTTGCCTTAGAATGATAATCTTGCTCCAGCCTGGAATCTGATCCTGCTACCTGTTTGTACTTGCTCATTTTCATTTGGCGATTCCTCTCTTCTACATCCATAGCACCTGTTAAGAAAAAAGAAAAAGAAAGAAAGAAAATAAGAACACAAGCAGCCTTCAATTCCAAGTTTGAAGTTATGCTTATGGAATTTCTAACAGAAAAAAAGATGAAATCTCATTTGCTTAAATTATTATGTAATTTTAATTATGTAATTTCTGAATTACAATATTTTGAAAAACAAATTAAACAGTCATAAGAAGAGGGGAATAGTAGATGAGGTAGTATTTCAAAAACGCCTTAATAAGAGTCGTATTATCTACAAAATTCAAATGAATCTCACTTTGAATGTAAACAGAATAGAATGTTTTCACAGACTAGTATTTTACTTTTACAAAAATATTCGACAGAAACTGAATCATACAGTAAAAAAATAAAGAATGCAAAGACAACTTGTTTATTTTGGATGGAGATCCTGGTTCAGTTTTTTTTTATAGTAGAATTTTGTATCAAATCACTAATCAGGTAAGGGCCTCAGGCTGGTATAGCTTTCATTTACCATCACTTAATATGCACAAAATAATTTTTAAAAAGTGGAAAGGAATGTTAAAGAGCCACCCAGTGGTAGCACTGTGTTACATCCTATGTGACACTCAGCTTCAAGGACAATTTCAGGCTTCAGTTCTTGGCCCAAATACATGATTAGCCTCTGCTCGGTTGGAGGTGGACGCTACTCGGGCATCAGTTGTTTTCAAGCCAATTGCTACTGTAACACCATAATTTACTCTCTGAAATGGTGAGGATGAAAGTTCCAAAGCAGAGATGAAAGTGTGAGAAACAGAAATAGAAAAATGAAAGGAACATAATAAAATAAGGGGAAGATAAGAGCCCACAATTATAAGTAATGTCTTGCAAAAGAAAAATAGTTATCTATTATATACAGGGGAGGCACAATTCCCTTCCACTTAATGTGATAAAAATCAAGAGTAATTCATTATTCACTGGGTGCTAAAAAGCCTTTGTTTTGACTGACATTTATCTTACACATTTTTAGGAAGGTTGTCCAGGATTAAATTTTCAGAATATCAGTCATAAATGCAAGTGTCTCTATATTCATATTGGAAAAGCTGGTCTTCTCTTTATGGGACTGTGATGGGGAACATTAGTCTTCAGGATGCTACATAAGTCTGATGCAAACTCCAAATCCCAAGTTCTAAGTGGGAAACTATCTGCAAAATGGGGCTTTGTACAGGGCCTCTGAGCTTTGTAACTGCCCTCTTGACACCACAGGACCGCACTGTCCTGGCCACCAAATCATGCAACATCTGGAAAGGAGAGGGTGAGGAGAGGAGGGCATGGGCCATACTGCTATGTAAACCCTTCTGGTTTCTTATTTTCCTGTTCAAACTCTCCAACTTTCCTCCACATAAACAACATGAATGAAAACACTTCATTGAAAACTTTCACAGAGACGCCAATTAGTAATAATGAATAAAAAGAAATTGTGCTTTTATAGGGAGAGAGAAAATGAAGAAGCAGAAGACAATGACATCAGCAGGTGAAAGCTCCTAAAATGCAATATACCTAGTGTTTCCTACCAAAATTTCTCTCTAAAAGCAGTATTTGCCAATTCTCATTAAGCTGCAAAGATTTTTCAATGATCTAGTTTCAAAAGTCTTCTAAATGAATTTATAAATGTATTTTTTCTGTTCAATCCAGAAAACTTTAAATAGGAAAATGACATTTTTCTTTATTCAATGGCAGAAATAGCACATCAGTGTCACTGATGAAGTAAAATAACTTCTACTTAAAGAAAGAAATCATCTTTTGATTACATTAGAACATTTTACAAATCCACTTGATGATTTTTAGTTTTAGAAAAGTTTGCTTTCACCAAACGGGAAGAAATCATAAGTATAATTTTTGAAGTTTTGTAAATATTTCTTGGGAAGTTTCTCTGATTAAAACATCAGGTATATTCTTTGTTTGCAGTTGTTCTGCCATGAAAACTTCAGTAAATGACAAGACATGATGAAATAACACCTCTTGATCAGACATTAGAAATTTCACAATTTCCCATGAAAATAGTCATTGCTATTCCATAAACCCAGTTTCACGTGTTCTGCAAAACCAAGCACTCCTAAATAGGTAGTTGAGAGGGGAGTATAACAGGTAGGCCCCAATGTGAGTCCTTCCTGGTCAAAGTGGCCTATTCCTGACCACTGACCAGTTATACATGGTTGAGTATGAAATATAATATATGATATGTGATATATGATATACAATATTCGATGTTATATGACTCACTACCAGTGAATTACACTTCTGAAATGCTTGAATAAACAAGAATATCAGCTTAACATCATGGTACACATTTTTGGTTCAACTAATTATTCATTTAATTTATTCAGCTTATAGATTTGTGATTTGTATAGTCATATTCTGGAGTACTTTCTGTTTATTGCAGAAAAGTTCACCAAGGTCTATACAGTTTATGGATTCTTTGACATCTCTGAATCTCAGTTTTCCAGTTCTTCTCTCTGCCCTTAAACCCTTTCCAGTAAAACATATGAAAATTTCTATTTATGCTAGCCAATTGCAGTTAGAAATGCAAAAGGGGTTCATATCCATTTTGCTACGTTTTACAATTAGGGACAAGAAGGAAATGTGAGATGGCTAAGTCCCTGAAAAGTCAAATTTAAAAAGCCAAAACTGGCGGCTCATTTTAATCTCAAGAGAAAAACAATGTAGATGATAGCAAAATTTAAAATAAATTTACTCAATTCCCATAAAAGCTTATTAAAAGCAAAGCTAACTTGCTATATTCTTCTGAAACTGCCATTAACAAACAAATTAATTCAATTATATGCAAAAAGAGGGAATCCCAGGGGCAATGCAAAGTCCACATGAGCTTCCGTTCTGCTGTGCATGGAGCTGACGTGTACAAAGACCCTGCAGGGTTCCTGACTGTCGCGGGCTCATCTGAGCTGCAACTAAAGCCAGGACCTGGGTGGCAGCAGGACAGCTTGGGAGAGTGGCCACTTCCATGGCCACCTCCCTCTCTGGCGGATTGGAGCATTTGCACCAAACAGTGCAAGGACATGGCTATAACTATCTTCTATTCCATCAGGAGATCTATACCTTAGCTGACACCTACATGTGTGGATCAAAGCAGGAGCCCAAAGCACTTCTAGAGGTTTCAGTAACCACTGGGTGCTTTAGGAAGCTTCATCTCCCAACATGGTTTCAGCAATCAAGTGAAGACCCAACATCAGCCCTATGCTAAGGACTCTACTATAATATGGACTATGTCCAGGTACAGCAAAAGAAACTCAAATCTACTAGGTATGAACAGTAGTAAAAATGTAGCAGCATAAGGCTTGACACTAGTAGTGCAAGGCTGACCGAGTGGGCGGTCGCTCAGGTTGGTAGCTGGGACCCAACACAACTCATCTTCAGGGCTTCAGAGACCCGAGTTATAAAGCTAGTTCTAACCTATTGTTATGTATTGCCATCGTATTTCAAATTGCATGCAAATGAATTTTGGCCAGGCAGAAGTAAGTGAGGTTACTTGTACTTTTTTTCTGTTTTGAACTTCTTTGCAGAATTTGACTTGTAGATTATGGCATTTGCTCCAACAGAAAAAGAAAAAAGTCATGCAAACTTCAGGCATGGGAATAAAAAATACCAAGAGAGCCTGATGGAAGAGCAAAGCCTGATGTTGCTAACATACTACAACTGTGGAAAAGACTGGTATCATTGCACTGTAGATGTATCTCAAGTCTCGCTCATTTTAAATGCCTCCCCACTGTAAAAATGAAACATGGTCTGATAGTTAGCTCTATGGAGTTTTCTTCAGCACAGGGAAATTCCTGGCAAAGGAAGAGCCAGCTGCTGATTCAGTGCTAACCATCCACAAGATTTCTAAAAGGGAGCATGCTGAGGGAAAGCAGCATGACTAATGTGCAGAAATGCTATAACAGGGCCCTGGAGCACTGTATGTGGCAGCCCTGCAACCTGTCCTAGGATCAAGGGCTCACAGCAAGCACTAGAAGCACTGCCCCAGCCTCAAATGCAACCCATTATTTCCATGTTTTTATCTTGACATAAGATTCTGCCACTTCAGCATTAAAGCTTTCATCACTGGTGCAAACTAAATGTTTGTTTTCAGTTATTGATTTTAAGGGGTTGTAATCAGCAATGTAGTTAAAATCTAATTTAACCTGACTTCAGTTGTTCATAGAGTCACTTTTTCTTGAGGAGGTAAGTAATTAAATGCTACTCCTGGAGTGAAACCTGTTATTGGCTGTTCTTTTCAAACACTGGTTATTCTCTTGGGCAATATCTGCTGCGGTTGATGGGCCATGGTCTACATCGAGAGACAAACGGGACCACGGAATATTCTCATCAGCCACCCTAGCCCCAGAAAGACCTCCCTGTAATACTAATTAAAAAAGAAAGCCAGGCAGCTGAGAGCTGTGTTCTTCTGTGTTCTCTCATTCTGTCATTCACTGTCTTCTGCAGTGGGAATTACTAAACTGTTATAGCTGCTCTATACGCAGGGCAGGTGGAGGTGTTTGAGGAAGGGGATTAGGGTCACTTACATTTGTAAGGTTCTGTACAGTGGGGTTTAGGAAGCATAGACTGCAAAAAGGTAAATCAAAAACCTGTGGTATGGGAGTTGAGTGGGCTTCCTCTTAACATTAGGATAGTTCCTATTGAAGGGGTATGGATAAGAGAAAAGATTTGGGAGCTCAGACCCAGATCACAGTTGTGATCAGGAGACTACAAAAACAACGGAGATTTTGGAGTTGGGAAGCTGTATCAGAGAGGAAGAAGGGATGGGGATTGCATGCATGCCCATTCTGTGCATGGAGTCAGGAGGACAACACGGAAGCCCTAGGGCACAGGAGAGCCTTATTCAGCTGTCCCTGATCTGCTTCCTACCATTCTCCCCCTAATTTGACTCCCTTAAATGAGTAAATGAAATACACTTCAGAAAGCTCAAAATATATTCCTTAGTTTCTGCTATAGAAATCATCAGAATACATGCACAGTGTGATCCATCTGTATGATACACATTCTGCTTAGACATACAACGTCTAAAAACTTAAGGGAAATAATATGAAGGTATTTTGAATAAGCCACCCTACCTGCATCCCCATTCTCTGGATCTGCTTTCTTTTCTTCTATGAACAAATGAAAGCAATATGTAAAACAAAAAAGGGGGAGAGAGAAATGCAGAAATAATAATAAAAGTAAACAAAACATGCATTTAAATGGAAAAAAAAATGAATAAACCCCACCAAATTAACTAAACTGATGACCTTAGTCACACAGTCAAGTATGGTGCTCTGCTTCCAAAGGCAGATTCACTGCATGCTACTGTATCCAGCTTTGCACCCTAATGACTTACTGGAGGGAACCCAGAGGTATTTTGTGCACTTCCAGAATCATTAACACACTCTACACAAAAGACAGCAAGGCAGGTGTCAGACATTGTTAGTTTACAGTTCCCTTGAACGGGGTGACGCACCAATAAAACACGTAGCTTATGCTATGTGTTGTCTACAGCATACACACAATATGTAATCAAGTGGTTCAAGCGTAAAAATTTAATGTCCCAGAATGGTTTTCAGAAATAATTTAAATCTTCATTGGGATAATCAATTCTTACAGCTTCTACAGGTTAGAAGGTTTAATGTTATTACTGCAGTTTTTCTCAGAGCTAAAATTGATGAAGAATGAAAGACAAAAACAGCAATACCCGGAACCCAGTTTGTGCACATAAATCCATCAAACTGATGCCAACAAAGAATTTGAATGTATATCAAAGGTTGCATATTGCTCATGGCATTCTTCTGCCACAAATAAACATTGGTTCCCTATCAACTACTTTGGCAGCATGTACACACTGCCCTCTGAAATCCAATTTGATAATTAATGTAAAAGAAATTAAGTCAAATGAAATTTACTGTAACTAGAAATACATGAACTTTTAAGCAGTCTCTCTGCTTCTTTTTCTTATCATAAGCCAGAATCTATTAATTTCAATTAAAAGAATCCCATGAATATGGAATGCCCCCCCAACCAAAATTGCATACGCTATTGCAATTACATGTTTTTTACCAAATTATTGGTTAATGAGGTTTGCCACAAAATTGCTATGTAGGTTATAGCACACAGACTATCACCACTGAAGAAGAAAACAGAGATGTTACATTTTAAAGAAGCAGCAATTTGTAGGAGGATATTAAAGCAGAGTTACACCTAAAAGAGGTGTAACCTCTTTTATCTTCTCCACGTGTTCTGGCCTATATTGCCCCTATCTAGGCTGTGCATATGTGGGCTGTGAAGAAAAGGCAGAAAGGCAGAGACACAGGAACTATGAATGCAACATTGGCTTCTCCTGTCTCACTACGTTCTAAAGCAAAAGTTATTTGACAGCGATACCACTGATCCAGTAAAATGCAACATGTATGATTGAAAAAACAGGCATTAAAATGCCTCTGAGTTTGAGGAGAGACAACATGATATAAAACTTAGATTATTTCATATATATGGTGAAACGGAACTTTTGCTGTATCTGAAATTAATACTATATTGTATAACTTATATTTTTGTTCCTACTCGGAGATGCTGTATAAGGCCACTTTTCCACCTCTCTGGGACACAGAACTTCTCAACTATGAATCTTTAAATGAAGACATTGTCGCAGAAAAAGAGAAACTTGAAACAAGTCTAAATTTCATTTGTTTTTGTTCCTCCTTTAAAAAGGTATAAAACAAACCTTCCCACCCATAGAAAAGAATACTACTATTGCTCATAGAAAAGAATACTACAGTCTTGGCAAGCAAGAGACTTCTGGATTGAATTGTAAAAGTGCAATTGAAGTGCTGTGACATTCATTAGAAATCTCCAGAACAAGTAAATCTTTTAGATTTTTAAGGGCAGTGTTGGCAGCATTGGATCCTACCCTTTGAATTGAGGTTTCCATTGTATTGTAAAAGAGCTGTGTGGACAAGTGCTAGAAGAAGTTTGAATTGAGAAAGATATAATTTGAGTGGGAAGCAGCAAAACTGAGCAATATCAATATTATCTTAAGAAACTCATTGAGCAAAGAAAACAGGACCAGTTTTCTCATCAACAGAGTCTTCTCTTAAAGAAAACAGAGCAGGTTCAGAATGTTCAAACTAAACTGTTTAGGTTCCCTCAGTTGTTAGGTGCTTCTCTACTTAAGTGCTTTATTCATTCCCACCACTTCGACAAGTCAGGCTTAATTTTTAATAAAGATCATGTAATTTAAAATATCAAATATATACTTCAGACTATAACTTTAAGTAACTACTTTTAAAATGGTAGTCAAATTTCTTATTACCACTTCTCTCTATATATCTGATAGAAAACAAGAGCTTTCTCTTAAAATGTTCTTTATGAGAATACAGGAGTCTAATTTTATACCAAAGCAAATCCCTAAAACAATATTTTTATTAAAGTAAATGAAGAAAAAAACACAAAAACATGAAACATCAGAATATCTCAGTTACAGATCGTGCAATCAAAGGGTTAAATTTCCTTTCATTTCCAAAGCTATTCTATTCCAACTCTACCTCTATATTTTGTTCTCTTTGGAAAAAACCTGTCACCTTCTCCTGTTTCAAAAAAAAATTTACTATATGCCTCACTCTCTGGTTCAGGCATATATACAACAATCCTTCATATATACAATAAGGGAAAATCTCCATGAGCAGGTAAATCTGCAGCAACCCAGGAACAGGAATCTTCACTTCCATTTTAGCCATTAGCCACAAGCGGCAAGACTAGAATTCCTTAAATTATTAGTTACACACTTCAAACTCAATTCAGATGCTGCAGGAAACAAAGTCTAGTCTGGATCTACAGAAACCACTACTGCTATTCCTGAAACACCCTTTTTGCCTTAACTGTCTATTCCCATATATTCCACATGTTAGTGTAATAAGGTATCGCATTTTGAAAGTCCTGAAAGTTATTAAATTAGCCCTATTTTTTCTATTCTGTTTCTCACAGTGTGAAAAATCTAACTTATTAGCTCAACTGCTACCAATTTAAAGAAATATCAGGCAATACCTGATACGAATGGCTGCTGAACTTCACTACAGGGCTTTATGGCCAAGGTGTGGCAAATATAAAAAAAGCTATTCCTGCAACAAGCAAGGCCTTTCCAAGAAGTGCATGATTCACACCACAGTCTGGGTGAAAAGACAAATGTGGAACAAGAAAAAAACTCTGCACAAGAACTGAAGCATTTTTAAGAGTTTTTAAATTACAGTTTAAATGAGACTAAAGTGCCAACTATTGCCCTTAAAAAGGAATGCTAGAATGAAGATGATTTCAGGGAGCCAAATTGCTACTGGGGGAGCATGGCTTTGCATTCCTGTTTTCTATTTGAGAATTGCTTGGCTTTTTTTTTCTCTTTTTGGCTTCAGACTGATACACTGAACAATGCCTGAAAGCCAGGGGACATTTCTCACCAATTAAAGAAATTTCGATCACAATGCTCAAACCATGTTAGCAATGTTACTTCACATTATTTGCAGAATACATGGCACTGCTGAGCAAAAGAGTTGAATCAGATGGCGTGGTGATCTAGACGGGAAAGTTAATGAATCCCTAGAATCATCATTTCACGAACAGACAGGGTCAGCTCAGGTCCTCACGATCAAATGCTGATGTCCTGACCTGTTCAGCTGGCAAAGGACAAGGGTCTTCTGAAGTAAGCCTGAAAGTTTTCTCTGTTCTGCATGTTCGTTAAAATAATAATTAGGGATGTGACCTTTTTTTCTAATGGCACATTTGCCCACGGATGCTTCTTCAAAGGATTTTTTACGGGGTACTCTGCAATGTTTATCCTACTTGCTACCTGATACAAGGTATACACGTATACATATATACCTACAAGGTATACATGTACTCTGATGGCTTTGAAGAGCAGTGAGATCCCACAAGGGATAAGGGGTTAAAGACGAGCAATAAGACCACTGTTGGCTAAACCAAATCACTTGAGTTTCCCCAAGAACTCTGACCCACCCTCCATAGCCAAATGATATGCCATAGATTTTGAAAATGTAACAGAAAAACATCTGTGTGGCCAGTGAGCAATCTGTCCTCATAAAAACACATTCAGATCAGCTCTGTTATAAATACAGAAAAAACCCACAAAAGTCTTACTGTCACGCTCTCCAACGCCCTGTTTATTGAGCATGCAAGCTCCTCAGGTTTCCCATCCCTTAATACACTCCACAGCATAATCACAGATTCATATTCTGATAGAGCCACTTCAAAACACAGGATAACTACACCTCCGCTTCCAGAAGAGCAAACACCTATGAGCAGAGATTCCTCAGCCACCCTAAAAATGCAAGAAACCTTCATCAGCATCTCAGTAATCAGAAACGTACTGAACCATGCAAGCAAAGAGCACGAAAGCAATAATAGGGCACGTGCTTTCATGCAACACTAGGGAGAAGTAGAAGTTATGCTAGCAAAATTTACTGCTAAAAATATATATGCTGTGGTCTGTTTCCATAAAATTACGCTCTCCTTTTTAAGCTATGTATTGATATTGCAACTATTTTTCTTTTGGCAGACTGAAGAGTAGTCTTGATTTACCTGGTTAGGTTCAGGTGGCTATTTTGGCTATTTTGGTTTTCAGTTTTAATACTACTTATAATCAAAATAAAAAATAAGGGCAACCAAAATCACCCAGCTATCCAATAAAATGCATCTATTAGTATGCTAAGTACTTTAAACTGAATCCTGGAGCTTAACAAATACAGGGTTAGTCTTTTTAAATGCCTCAGTCACAATCTGTGGCATGAGATTTTAAACACAAGCAAATATCACACAAAGCTTCAGAGATGTACACGGCAATTAACCACATTTGTGCTAAAAGGCTACAAATTCCATTTAAGTCATTTTTAGCAGGAGAAAGATGAAACTTGTCTTTAAAGCCATCCATGTCTCTAAGGCAAAGTGTGTCATGGAGTGGTCGCTATAACATTAAGCTAAATATATGGGGATGACATGCGCTCTTTACCAACAGCAGTAAATTCCCTCTTGGGAAACCTCTCCTGGTACTTTGAGATAAGGCCAGCTCTGAAGAACTGTGCTTCTCCTTCTCTTAATTCCACAGCACGGGCTTTCCTGA